TGACATCCTTTAATTAAAACAAAGTATGAAATCATCAATCCACATCAAATTGTAAAGTGCTTAAAAATGTAAAATACTTTAATTCAAAACTTTAAATATGTTTGTATGTTAATCTATGTCTACAGTATATGTATTAGGTTAATAGTGTATTAATGAATATGAACCACATAGTAATATGTTTTTACATAATTCTGAACGTAATAACACATAATGGACATACACAGTTAATACATACAATGGACAATCGGCCCAGTTATAGATAGCAAAATTTCCTTAAGATTTTTAAAACTCTTCAATAAATTACAGATAAAATTGATAAACAGAAAAAAATTCAGACTTATTTTCATCATCCATGTCATCAGGACAAGAACACATTAATAATTAAGGTCTCATGGAAGAAGGCATAACACAAACTTTTTGTGTATCTAACATCTGTACAACGGTCTTAGCCTCATTATTCTATATCTCTAAGGCTGAAACAGCTTTTCCCCACAAAGCAACTGAGAGAAAGAGAGACAGAGATGGAGACAAACACAGACAGACAGAGAGATAGATGGAGACAGAGGCTTCTGGGTAGCATTAAACTGACACAATCAGCCGATAACTCTGCAGCTCAATGCCCTTCACTCAGGTGAAGGAACATCTTGCATCTCACTTTACTGCTGTGTCGGGCGTGGTGCACTGATATGAGGCTATGTGTTACGAATGCTCCGCTGACAGCAAACTGGCCGACAAATCTCTAATCGAGTTTTTCTGCAACCCCTGGACCTGAAGCACTGACTGAGTTGGCAAAATAAAATGCTTTAAAATTGGGACTCTGCCATTTTGGTCAGGCAAAGAGCCACCTGAAAATTACTGAGAAGGTTTGTTTTAGCTGGTCCCCAGCACTTCCCAAAGACACAAAGAGATATCAACTCAGGAGGAAGGATGATTATCAGAAGCAGATCACTGATGCAGCCATCTTGTTGTTAAAGATTGTATTTGTAACACTATTAGCAGGTAGATTCGTTTAAAAAAAAAAAAAAAAGGACGTTGCTTTCCCAATTGTCTGCTGTTGTTTCACAAAACAAATATTAGTCAATTTGGAGGAACTGTGATTGAATACAGACAACCATCATTGTGTGCATCCACATTTTACATATAAAAAGATTCTAGCTGACTTAAATTTGCTGCTGATGTGTGGTTGCAAGCAGGAAACAACATCTTAAAACTCAATTTTAAAATGTCTGCTGTTGTCCAATGCAATCCAGATTCCTCTAACTCCCCATAGTTGAAGCTGAAAACTGTGGGTGACAAAGCACCACCCTGCCATCTTCCCCTCACTTCGGAGGACTGTTGAGCCTTGCTGAGCAGCCGTTTAACCCAGATTAGCTCCGTACTCTGATCTCCTGATAGATATTCAGCTCAGCTACTCCTCCACTTATCCCCTCTTCTTCCACTTTTTCTTTTTTGACCTCCCTCTGGGACCTCTTATCTGCGGGCAGAAACATTTTCACCATTTTAGAGCTGGCGATATGTGATAGCACAGGTTAGAGAGAGAGGGTGAGTGGAGATGGAGACAAGGGAAACTAACATTTGTTATTAATAATTCATTGTCAGCTTTCTGTGGTCCGTACAAATAGACACACATTTTTCTCAGAATCTCATCTGAGGTGCCTCAAAATAAGGCTGCAGAGATAAGTGTATGTTTTTTGACTCCCTCTTGCAGATACGCTTGTTTTTATATCCAAGCTACATCTCTGTCAATTTAAAGGTTGCCCTCTTACATGCTGCAGTCAAGGACAGAAATATCAGAAGTGTCAAACAAGATTGGGGTGTCACCTTATCGTGAATAAGACTGGAACGCCCTCAGAAGAATTGCTTTCTGTGTTGAAGCTCCTTAAAATATCAATATAAACATAAACATGAAAACAAATACCCAAGGACTCTGTCTTTGCGTGCAGCAGATGTCTGCATTCAAGGCTAAATGAATGTTCTTGGAAGTCAATTTCTGACACAGGTTAGAGAGCCTGTGGTTGTTGGTGACTGAGTCACATACCAGACGGGTGATACATTATTAACAGAGTTTTACAAAGAAACTCTAAGGGCTTTCTGTTTAAAACACTTCAGCACTGTCAACATTACCTTGCTTATTCAAAGGGATAAGTGCCCAGCTGTAGAAAACATGACATCTCATCCAAACGTTCCTAGACCAGCTATAGTAAAGCAAAGTAATAGAGGACTTTTGCTCAGCTGTCAGCTTATCGGAATCAGAGCGTTTTTTTTCTGGGCTCAGGATTTACTGTGTGTTCAACAAGTAAAGGAAAAAACAATCCATCATACGTTTCTCACGATTTCTCCACTGTGAGCAGCTTCAATACACCATGAAACAGAGCAGCAATAAAACATCTTGTATATGTGTATGCAGCATGGTTGCAAACTTGATCTTTGATCAGAGGACTCTCGAGGGACTGCTTTGACGGGAAAGGCAAGGGTCATGTTACAGAGACAGCTGAAGGCATCAGTAGGCTAATTTTCTGTAACCTTGTGAGCTATGCTATTTCTTCTGTAAAGTTTGAACTGTAAAATGTAATCTGTGGAGAGACAGTAAACACAGCTATCCTTAAAAGTTTTGTTATTAATTATTTAATTTGTAGGATCGCCCTGCATATGAGACTTACAACAACTCAGTTCAGAATGCTGGAGAAGTATCTGATAATGAATGCACAGTCAAAATATAATACTAAAGTTGCAAGAAGACATGTCAGCATTTTTTAATAGTGTTCATTCCATATAATAAATAAAATCTAACCATTTTACCATACCAGCATAATGACAGCTTATCCTGTAAGACTCCCACATGAGCAATCACTATTACCCTACCTGTTTCTAATTACATTCATATCAAACAGATTAATGAGCACTGAAATTCACACATTTACTTGAAAACAACAACTCAATGGCCGCTCAGTGCGGTTTTTGAAAAGTAATTCTGGAAAATTAAAATACAACACAGGCAAGGTTCAGGGACAGTGGCTACAGTGAAAGAATAATGCATTGAACATCACATATTTATAAATATGAGAATATCAGCATGTGAAAATAGACACCTGTGTGCAGCTTCAAGGCAAGAGATGTGCCAGGAAACAGATATGTGAGCTTTCTAATGAAGTATGCAGAGGCAATAGAAGTGCTCTTCAGACACGAATGCTACTGGACTGCCTCACTCTCTCTCTCTCTCTCTCTCTCTCTCTCTCTCTCACACACACACACACACACACACACACACACAGAGTTATCTGCCAGGAAAGAGTCTCAGAGATCTGAAAGTGGAGTCTGCCACCTTTCCACCTTTAGCTCTTGTTAATCCCCCAGAGCTCACAGACTGGCCAGACTGAACGCACTCACCTGGTACAGACAAGAGCATAGTGAGGTGTGTGTGTGTGTGTGTGTGTGTGTGTGTGTGTGTGTGTGTGTGTGTGTGTGTGTGTGTGTGTGTGTGTGTGTGTGTGTGTGAGAGAGGGAGAGAGAGAGGGAGAGAGTACATGCACATGTGTTTGTGTATGACTCTGTTATGTGCGCTCATGCACAGCTTCAGTTGTGCTTCAGTGCAGTTCTACTAAGCATTCACCTGGAAAGCCTATCAGTGCACCATCGTACCTCCAACCTCTAAACCTCAAAGTGATTTTTTTTCCTTGTCATTTTCATGTCAAACCTCCCACGTTACACAGAAAAAGTTGCTGGTTGCTGTTGTTCTTGTTTTGGCCTTCTCTCCATTGTAAGCGTTTGTTTTCTTCACGAACCTTCAGATTTATCCTATTAGTTTCAGTATTGTGCTAAATATTGTTACAATTTTCTGCTATTAATGGTTTTCTTTCATTAAGAATCCCCAAGCTTTCCTTCCAAAGCTGGATACACAGACAGATTAAACCACAAAGAGCCAGATTTACTAACATGAACATGCAGCACAAGTTTGTGCTGCACCTTGCATTTAGCTTGTGCTCGCAAAACGAGTAAATTTAGCATGCAATTTAGTCAGCATCTGGGACGATCCTCCAGGTGTATTCTGCAAGTGAGGCAGAGCTTAGATCACTATAAGCTCAGAAAAGAAATGCTAATGTTGTGATCCAGATTCAAGAAAATTTCTTATATTTTTCAGCTGATCCTAAAAAATATGTCTATTACTTTTAATCTTATAATTAATTGAAGTCAATATCCAACTTGGAAAATGAGAAAGATATTAAGCAACAACAAAATGCTCAAAAGACTGTTATTCTGAGATTCCTAAATATCCTTCATTAGAGAAGCAAATGTTGTACTAGAAGTATACATGAGGAAACTGCAACATTTTTTATGTTGGTGGTTTCCATAGTGTGTCAACACAAAATAACGAGCATATAGGTTGTTGATATCAGGGTTACACTTTACACTTTATTTTAACCACCAATAGCTTACATAGCATTTATAAGCATTACATAAACATTTATAACACACTGTACAGTACAAGCAAGAAACTATAAGAGCATTTTAAGCATTTATTAGTGTTTTTGTCAACAATTATGAATCCACATTGAAGCATCTATAACTGGTGTATAGATATAACAAACATGGTCATAAGATATTTATAACAAAGTATAATATAACTAATTATGATATCTATTATTATATTCTGATTACTATTATTATAGTGTTATAAAGCATTTATCAACTGTTTATATTCATGTACAAATCATTCACAAGAGGGTTCAAAACTGTATATAAATGTGTTCAAAAGTCATGAAGACATGTCCTTTATAAATGATAACTGTTACTATCAGTGTCATCAATCAAGTTCTAGTTAACAACATTCATTGTGTAACATTCATTGTGTAGAGTTTTATATTCTGTCATAAACCATCTTTAATGCTTATACACTGTTTATAAATGCTAACGAGGTAACGACAAATTGTTCGTGGTATTTGTTAAACACAGGAGACACCAGGAACATCTAGTTTTAAAGTGGTTGACCTGTGTCTTTACAGATGTCATGTCCGAGTGATTGACACATTTGGGACAGAGCCAGCTTACAATCATGAGGAGTATGCAACCCTGCATGGATACCGGACCAACTGGGGCTACTGGAACCTCAACGCCAGGCAGTATATGACCATGTTCCGTAAGAAAAAACTCACTTTCATAAGTTGAAAATCTGGGAATTTCTTTTTTTAAAAATCATAATTTAATGTGTTTTCATCCAATACAGAGTTCCCATGTAATTCAGTAATCGTATATTATAAAGGATGTGCATACATTTTTATATATAAATTTATTTAGGATTCTCAGAGAACTCATCAAGGATGACCCTCATTTACAATGATGCCAGATTACACAATCAACAAACAGAAAAGTTAAAATAGTTACCATGAGAAATGTAATCATAAAAATAAACAACATCGTCAGTTTAAACAGTTACAGACAGGTGATGGACGGTTATTAAGTACATTCTTAAAGAGGTAAAAGAGTATTCAGTTTAAGGTTGCATTGCAAGAGACTGCATAAGTCTTCTGCACTAATATAAAAAGTCGTCCTTCCGAAATCAGTCCTGGCACGAGGCACCTGAAGAACCGGCCAATCACTGGAGTGGACCAGGGTCCCTATGCAACGTAGATGTGATGCATGATGGTAATTTTCCAACCAGGGCTTTATAGACATACAGACACGAATACCTGTTGCATCTCTCAGTCAGAGAAGAACAACCAAGCTTATTATAGAGGATACAGTGGTGAGCATTGTAGCTATCACCAGTAATAACCCTCATGGCTGAGTAGCAAACAAAATCTAAGGGCCTCAGAGTGAAGGCAGCAGTATGTCTGTAAATTACATCCCAATAGTCCAGAACAGGTGGGAAAGTTGATTCAACAATTTTCTCGCTACAAATCAAAGGAAAGCTGGTTTAATTTCTGTATAAAAAGCCAATTCTTTGCCGCAGTTTGCCAACAAGGCTCCTGATGTGGTATTTAAATGTAAATTCGTCATCGCGCCAGATGCCAAGATACTTGTATTCTGTAACCCTTTCAATATTTAAACCATTGACGGTAGAGATGTGCAGATTACAGTCATCTATGTTTTTGGATCTCAAGAAAACGGTGATTTTTTTTTTTTTGTTTTATTTTGTTTTGTCTTTGCAGTAAGTATCATTTTAAGATTATAAGAGAATGTTGCAGTGCATGAAGGGAGAGTTGTAGTTTTTCGATGGCTGATTGAACAGCGTCATCAATACAGTGCAAAATAGTATTGTCAATGCAAAGACGCCCATTGTAACCGGCAGGAATACAGACTGGGCCACCCCCATCCTCACACATTGACGTTTGTCACATAAGTAATTCTGAAACCAGCTGAAAGGATCCATATCAAAACCAGCAATGAGTAATCTTTCTATAAGTAGAAAATGGTAAACTACATCAAATTCTAGCACTTACAGTTTCATATCCTCCCATCCTGAACTCATAAAAACTCAATTAGTTCAAGCATATGTATTGTAACTTGTAACTTTAAAACATGAAAGTTAAATTACTTCACTGTCATATTCACACACACAAAGATCTGTCATCAGTTTTGATTGTTTTTCTAAATATGATCAAATGACTGAAATTCAGTGTTTTCACTTTCTTTGACAGGTCTGGCTGCTTGATCCCATTAATTTGGGATAATGAGTTTAATGCAGCTATGCAACACCACAGCTTCTAGCTAGTGTCCCTTCAAACTGTATCTGGTCTTTTGCTCATTTGCTTTTCTGTTTCATGCTACACAATGTGTCTGATCTGCTGTTTTCAAAGCCCTAGCTGTTGTCGTCTGTCTCCTCGCTGTTCCTGACTAAAACACTGACTGCTTAAATCCCTTCTGCTCTCACATTCAGCTCTCAACAATACCACGCTCATTCACCTATAGCTGGCACTCAACGGCAGGATCATTATAACGTCAATATGTGGCTGACTGTTTCACACTGTCCCAAGCTATAATGATTAACTCAGCCTTTATCAGCTGCTCCATACGAGAGAGCAGCAGGTGCCGTCATTTATTACAGATATTCAATATATGAAAATATACACTGCAAAAAAATATGAAAAAAGGCTGTAACTGTGAGGACACAGTAAATAGGTTGTTTTGAAAAAGTTATTCTGAAATTATGAATATACTTGTAGTTCAATCTTGCAGCCAGTATTTAAAAAATATTTTCTGTACACCTTGTACTACCAAAACCATCTAAGCCCAACAGCAGCTGGCTTCATGACAGTTACTATTTATAATATTTAGGGAGGATATAATCAGGCTGACTTTGCCATTGAACTGAAGCAAACAAGGATGCTGTGCTCTTTTTCTGTCTTTCTTCTCTGCCACTCACTCACTATGAAACGTTTTCTCTTCCCCCCCCCCCCTCTTCTGTTCTTCTGTCTCTGTGTAATGTTTTCCCTCTCTCTTTGCTAATATCCTGCCTCTACTTATTACTCACATACACACATACAGCTCACACACCAGACAACTCATTCATGGGCTTTGTTTCGGAAGAGCTGAATGAGACAGAGAAGAGGAGCATTCAGCAGAACAAAGTCAACAACATGGCTGTTGTGTACGGGAAAGAGGCCAGCATGTGGAAGGTACAGACATCAAATGACACACACAAAAACGAAAATTTAGTTGTTGCTGCTACAGATCCTGGAGCTGTATAAAAGCTTGCTATTTACTCCTTACAACAATGGCAAAACAAACTCAGACCGTCTTAGTATGTCTCTACTATTGTTAATCTTTTGTGTAATGCTGCTGTTGAATGTTTCCATGTATAAAATAAGTGAATTTCCTGGAGGGCGACAATTGTATATACAGAAAATGCGTGCACACACACACACACACACACACACACACACACACACACACACACACACACCCACACACCCACACCCACACACACCCCTATATGTAAGCAACAATGAAAATGTACACATATGCCACACAGTCATGCTTATACACATATGTTCATGCACACATGCCTGTGTGTGTATACAGTACACAGCCCTGTTCATGTAATGCATGTGTGCACAGCAAATGTTTCACACCTGGAGGCACAAATAAACATCTCACAAATCATTGTGTGTTGCACTGTCAAATTCAAACGGGTGAGTTAGGCCAAAAGGTTAAAAGCTGAATTCTTCATACAGCAGTCACTTTCAGAGTTGACACATGCAGATTCTCACAACACACACACACACACATACACCCACACACACACAGACACACAAAACCATATACTGCAGTGTTAAAAGAAAAATCCAATGACAGCATTTTGCACACCCTGCTGTTTCGTACCATTACAGTTCAGCTTCATGTGGCTCTAGATACACAATTGCACTACTTTAATTTACTGGCAATTTTTGTCTCAAAAGCTGTCTGCTCTTCCTTTGCATATTGTACATGGGCAATTGTGCCTCCATTGTTAAAATGATTATAGAGATGTTGTCTGCCGCCATTACTTTCCATCGTCTGTCTGTAAAGTTCCCTGGATTTCTTTATAGCTGTGGCTTGTGAAAAAGACAAGCACATAAGGGAGATGAAAAACTATTAAAGCACAATACTCTAATCTGCAGAAACTTGGTGAAAATGCAGAAAATATAATATGTGATTTTTGTTTTCTCCCTCTTTCTTGTTTCCACTATTGTTGTATTGTTGTCTATCCAAAATTTTATCTTATTTTATTTTTCTCTTTCTCTCTCTTTCTGTCTTTTGTGGTGCACCTTTGTATCTGGCTGGATGCTCATTAGCTTCAGGTAAGGGCCCGTTACTTTCAACAAATACTGCTGCTATGTCCATCTCACAGCCCATGCATATGCAAAAAAAAAAAAAGCAAGTTACTCTGAGCTGTTAACATGTCAAGGAGTACACACATGCACGTTAACACACACAAGCATTTATATAAACTCTTTATCACGTCTCATTTCAGATAAGTGATTTTGTGAGAAGCTACTTATCACTGATTCACATATACTTTCAAAAGCACTGCAGTCAACACTCTTGAAGAGTTTTATGTATAATAGTGATTATCATTTCATGCTCTTAATTGTCAGAGAGCACAATGACTGGTCAGGCAGCCAGTCATTTGAAGGACATCAGTATTATGTTCTAACCCGATGATTCAGTCTCTGAAACTTTTGACAACAGGGCTCAAAGTGGCCAAAGCGGCACTAATGGATGATGCTGAGCTTCTCAAGTGACTTCCACCTTATTCACAGCAATAATTTCATCATTTTGTGCTTCTATTGTCATCCATCTACTGAGAGGTTTCCACAATGAGATGTAAATTGAGGCTCCCAAACTGTCAGTAGAAGCACTGAAGCATCTTGGATGAGAATTGACTTTTCGCTAAACCCCTCCTCCAGACAGCAACTGTCCAATCACAGATTAGCAACCGTAACTAGTGGAAATGGCTCTGCCTTCCTGTTTATTGGATTTAGGAAAGATAACACTCCAACAACCACAGCAAACATCATCTAAGATATCATTACATTTACCAAACACATCAGTCTGTCCTCATCCAGAAAGCCTTTCTCTTGAAATGTCAAAAGTGAAAACTTTTAAAAATAGCAACAAGTTCAAGCTAAACATCTGAACAGGGTTACGTGAGAACAAAATAAGTCTGATCTCACATTTTTTCTGATCATCAGATGCCAGCTCAAAACAAGAAGCTTCCCTTTTTCTGCCCCTGTTTGAAAACACGGAAGCATTGTTCCAAATATAACTAAGAAATGTGTGCGGTAAATCTGCGACTGATTTCATTGCCATCAACATACAGTACAGTATGTAGCATTTGAGAACAGAAAGCCTGACAGGTGTAGCAACAGCAAGGTCCTTAAATATCTGAAATCCACATGAAATGAGGAGAGGCATGAGAACGAGAACAGCAGAACATATTTATTACCATTTCTAATTTAATTCATGTTGTGATGTTGAGTAAGCTTGGACGCACGCACACACACACGCACACACACACACACACACAGAGCTGCAAGTGCAGGTTATGGAATCTGCACTCTTCCACGCCTCTGTTTCTCCTACTGCTAATTCATGTTGTCTGCTGCACTTAGCGCTTGAGCTAATCTCCTAATTGGCTGGGAAAATCCTCACAGAGGAAGCTATCGATTGCTACAGCCTCCAATTACAACGGCGGGGGTCCGTACCACAGAACAGGGATACAGTAAGCTGCTTAACACCAGACGGCCAGTCAATACTCTGGCCCAAGGGTTACGCTCCATTCACATGATTCAGTTTTGGTTGTTAGCTGTTGCTGGTTGGTTGTTTTGTACTCCTAGTCATCATGCTCAACCTTGACTTTGAAAGTGTGACCCTCTGGCTCTCTCACACACACAAAATGTATTGCTACTGTTGTTTGAACAAATAAGCAGAGATGAATGCACATGAGTAAGCACAAGTAACGCTTTATCAAACTGCACACCCACACAAGCCACAGCATGATGATTTTGCAAAAGAGATACACCTACTTGGTGAATGCTGCACAGCAGAGTTGAATGACATTCTATTTTTTTCCCTTTAAGGTGTTTTTTTTTTCTTTCTTTTACTAAATAATCTTGTTTCATACATGGGAAATGTTCTTTTATTTTTTATACCAAAACTTTTAAACCAGATTCCACATCTCAGGACCAGTTTTAATGCTAGAACACAGAAGCCTCTCTGTCAATGGGTCTTGCAAATCAAGAGGGAGAGAAAACAGGCTAGTGGTATTAGCATTGCAGAGTGGTTCATGTGCCATGCATGTTTAACATTCACAGTATCGAGTGTGACTCTTTCTCCTCTCTGTGTTTTCTGGCCTGTTGTAACTCTGTGGTTTATTTCAGTAAGACTTGTTTTTTTCTGGTAGAATTGTCAAAACCACCAGAAGAAAACACACACTCTTTTACAGTATATGACCAGAAGACTTCTAAATACAACATGCAGTACATGAAAAGATCATGGCCTCATCCATACTCTCAGGACAAATTTTTCTTTATATTTATGTTGTATATATTTTTCAGAATGAAAAGAAATTTGATTTGAAAATGCAAGTTGTTTTCACATGTAAAAGGTGTTCTGTAAGATGTATGAACCGCGGGCTTGGTCTTAGATGTTCCTGACACCAAAAGCTGACAGCCACACTTTCAGACCGCAGACAACTCACACCAAGATCAGAGACGAAACAAACACAGCACACTGTATTTGGGCTCAAAGTCTTTAATCATATTCTTCACTTTGCTGTTCTTTCCCAACACGCTCTTTTTTCACACACCCTCCTCTTCACCCCTTGCCCTCCATCTCATCACCCCATCTTTTTCCCCTCCTCTCCCAGCAGGGTAAGGAAGGTTTCCTGCAGATTCTCCACAGGTACATGGAGGTCCACGGCACAGTATACTATGAGACTCAGAGACCTCCGGAGGTCCCGGCCTTCGTGAAGAACCATGGCCTGCTGCCCCAGCATGAACTGCAGCAACTGCTGCGCAAGGCCAAGGTAAGAGATTGAAAAAAAATATTACCTGCAGACACACACACTTCATCTGCTGAATACTCACTACTGGTGTCGGACTGAGCGTACACAGACTCTTCATCTGCAGCTTCTATTCTGTCTCTCTCACAGGCTCACACTACCTCTCCTCACATTTATTCCATAACTGATTTGGCATGCACACACGGCACATTGCAACAACTGATCTAAATACTATAAAAAAAATATAAAGCTATATTTATAAAATAACAGTTATGATCTTTTTTTTTCTAGCTCTTCATTGGCTTTGGTTTCCCCTACGAAGGCCCCGCCCCTCTTGAAGCAATAGCCAATGGCTGCATTTTTCTCCAGCCCAAGTTCCACCCACCTCACAGTTCACTCAATCACGAGTTTTTCAGAGGCAAGCCCACTTCTAGAGAGGTAAGCTCATTACGGTTGTTGCTCTGCTGCCTAAGTCACTGGCAAGAATATTTTTGCTGCCAAGTAACTTTATTCGTCAGTAGGTCCTTTTAAAAGAACTGGGACAAACTGTAGGTTCAGACAGCACGTTTGTGTTTGATAAGAAGCTGGAACATGGTCTTCCTGTTACAAAACAACTTATGTTCCTATTAATGGTTAATCACACAACTTTGGTGAAATCCCTGCAATACATTCTATTGGGCGAGTGCGTTCTTAATAACCCTGACAAGCACATCTTACAAATGTTACAAATAGATGTCTGAGCGCTGTGCTAAAAGTATCACATTAGAGAAATTTCCAAGGTATTACTGTAAAATATATTTATGTATCTGATACGATCAAATTGACTTTATAATCTATTTCAGTGCCCACAATAACATTTCAAAGACATTTATTTATAGAGTTCTGACTGTATGCCCTGCATGTGTCTTCTGTAGGTGTCCTCCCAGCACCCGTACGCAGAGCAGTACATTGGCAAACCTCACGTCATGACTGTGGACTACAACAACTCCCTGGAGTTTGACTCTGCCATCAGGGAAATCATGAGGACCAAGGTATTCTCACCCACTGTGCACTGTAGTGTGAAAGGACAGAAAATGAGACTTGTTCTTGAGTATAAAAAACCTTTCTATAAATACTGGTTCAGTTTAAGTAAATAATATATAAATAATATTTTTGTATTGCTTGTGATAATAAATCACTCTATTCTTATATTCAGTGAGGTTAGATTATTTAAGTCCTTGTTCCATGTTCTAGGCGTTGATGTGTTTTGCTTACCTTTCCCATTAAGAACCTGTGATGAAGTTTAAAGTACTGGACCTGCTGTTGTCACTGGGACATTGATCAAGCTTTCCTAAAATTTAATACAACAGGACAGTAGCTTTGCTACAGAAGAGTTTTGCAGAGCAAGTTTGTCAATATGTATGTTGCAGTCTGATATTGCAGTGCTGAACTTTTCCACGCAGGAAATGTGGGCTGGTAGAGAACATGAGGATGCTAGAAACTGCCAAGAGTGGGAGAGAGGTTAATTAAGGAGTCAACTGGGCACATTCATTCTTTCTGGAAAGCATGAGAGAGGGGGAGAAAATGGTGAAAGAACAGAGAGCAAAAGAGAAGAACATATAGACCAAGGAATAGAAAGATTTAGAGGGAGTCTGAGGGCCAGATCGACTAAAGCTTACGAAAGCCTTTCATTCTCATTAAAATGGAAGACCAATGTGCCAACAAGACACAATTTGCACTTTAAGATAACCACAGCATAAACCTTTTATATCTCAAACTAAGTGATGTTTTCAAAAGTTAAGACTGCAGGTGTAATCAAGTGCATGAAAGTGACACTTGCAAAGAGTTATTGAGCAGCAGAAAACTATTGTGCACATGCCTGTACATGACTAGAGAACACGTGCAGGAGGCACGTTGGCTGTGCAATAGATATTCATATTAAGTTATTTTTACATCTGACAGAGTGATATATTCACAGTTAAAGAAATGTTTCATGTTTTGTTCCCAAGTGTCATCAGATGACTCGCTGTGTGGCTTTGGCATTATTTATTTCCATTTCAGCTATCTAGCTAATTCCATGTTCGAGCCACAGTAACACTCCAATAAAGAACCGATCTTGAATGCATGAAGGGCACTGAGGGATCATATACAGCAGGAAGACAGCTTGTCTGCCTGATCCTTTAAATGTTCTGTAATAGTTTGCGCCTTTAGCAGATTAGAGGTAGTCTGCATGGATATTAGACAAAAGGTGATATCTATAGTGATGGCTGTGTGTGCGTGCGTGTGTGTGTGTCTTGTCTGTTTTCTCAGACAAGCTACAGTTCAGCAGCACTGGCTGACTGCTCTGTCTCCGTCTACACTGTCAAACCACCGAGCGAGAGCTGATGGACCCCTTCACCCTTCACTGGAGGCACAATGCCCCAGCAAACACGCACATGTGTGCGCGCGCGCGCGCACACACACACACACACACACACACACACAGAGAGTCAGATAATATTATTCTGCTGGTACTTATTCAAACCCAAACACACACACAGACACATAGCCACAACTGGATCATAGCGTCAGGAACATTGAAATTGCACAGATCAGGCGTACCAGCTCAAAGAGCCTTACCTGCATATTACAGCCATTAACTACAAGACACACACAAGACAAACATACGCACATACACTGTGTGGAGGCTTATGTTCACTCATGCAGGACAAAGCAATCTCTCGCTGACAAGTCCTCATGTTCCAATAAATCCTTTCTCCATCTATTTCTGTCTCTTTTCTCTTTTCTGTCTCTCTTTCTCTGTCCTTTCTTTCTTTCTTATTCATCCTTGGTTTTGTTATTCCCTTACCATCCTCTATTCCTCCTTCTCTATCGCTGCATTTTTCAGTTTGTGTCCTTCATTCTCTCTCCCTCCTTTCTGACCTATTTGCTTGCAGTGGAAGCCCTTGGCCATCTTTGCACAAATTATGGTTCAATATTTCATGATGCAGTTGGTTAAAATCAGAATTTGCCTTAAAAGAAGGTGAAGGCTATTTTCCAAACCACATGTTTTGATAAAAGTGGAATATTTTTGGTTTGTGGTACATTAATGTGGACTGCACTTGTGAACTATCTTTATTTAAAACCAATACAAAATCTCTCTCCCCAGAGCTGGTCCTGTAAATGAGAATGTGCTCTAACTCACCATGTCTGGTTAAGTAAAGCTAAACGAGAGAAGTAATAGAAAGAAAACTGTTACCTGTTCCTGTGTCACTCCTATTCACGTGTTTACTTTCTGCTCCAGCTTACAAAGTAGATTAACATAAGGCTTTGATCAGATCTGCAGTGTGTGGAACTTTTTAAATTGCATCATCCCTGCAAACTTGCTACTCAGTGGTTTTCTTGAAATGGGCCAAGTCTGATTTCACACGTGGCTGAACATTAGACAACTTTGATTTCAGATTGGAAATGCAATTTAGTGAGTTTTGTATCATTTACAAAAGCAGGTGTTTTGCATAAGGACGTAAAGACAAGCCACCTCGATCTCTCTGTAGACTGGTGTTTGTTGTTAAAAGTTTTGGTATGTTACACTTCTGTAACAACTTCTTTTAAGTCAGTCATGAAACTTTAATTGATATTTCTGTGCTGATTTCAAAAATATGGTATAAAGAAAGCAGTTTATTAAATCAGCTAATGCAATATACTGTATCTTGATACTAGCATTGATGTCAAGGACATTTTACATTCATCCAGTTTTGTGCACGACAGTTTGTTCACACATTTTTTGGTATTAGCAAGAAACTCTCTTTCTCGCTCTCTCTCCCCCCCTACATATATGTGTGTGTGTGTGTGTGTATGTACATATATATATATATATATATATATATATAGTGTGTGTGTGTGTTGTCCAGCTCATCTCTAATTAGGCCAATCAAGTGTGCTTTAGTTATAAAACCTGCACATCACTGCAGGGTGTGATCTATTGGTATGCAAATAAAGCCTAATGAGTTTCCAAGTTGTGACATACTGTGATTAGGCCTTGCAGAAATCTGACAATAGAAACATTCATCTGCTGAAATTAACAAGGAGAGGGGACAATTTATTGCAATTAGTGTGAACAATGAAATGACAGGGGAAAAAAGGACACTATAATACATGCAAAATATGAAAATTTAGCAATGTGTGTTTTTGTCTGTGTGTTTTTTCAGGTTGAGCCATATCTGCCTTATGAGTACACCTGTGAGGGGATGCTGGAGAGAGTACATGCCTACATACAGCATCAGGTGAGGTCCAGTCCATGTCAACACAAATGTACACAGAGCTGTGAGCATAACACCCACACGCATAGATTGTCTCTTGTAGACACTACTCCTCTCTCACACATATAATCTTTTCACCAGCTCTTAGACTCCCTACTCTGCTCAATATTTCATCACTGTGTGCACTGAACATCTCAGCTTATGTGTCTGTGTGTCTGTCTGTGTGTCTGTGTGTCTTTCTGTGTGCGTGCATGTGTGTGTCTCTGTTTCTGTACTCCATGTATGTAGACTTGTGATTAATCTACATGCTAACTCTCATTACGAACCACATATCTGCCCGGCGGCTCTAAAGCAGAAGGTCTTCTGACACTAATGAGGAGGGATGATTAAGGAGAAAGAGGCAGAAGTGTGAGGATGATAATGATATAGGAGTGGCAGGAAAGAGACTTTCTTTTTTTAATAATCCCACATGAGATGTCAGACAAACTGCAGAGGGTCTCTGGTCAACTTTTGTCAGCTCCTGACTGGCAGCTGGTTTGGACTCAGAAACTGCTACTACAGCATTTATACTGTCGAAAGAGAGACAGGAGAAGATTTAACTAGATTCCTGTTTACCAAGATTTAACATAGAAACGTGGGCTAACAGTTGGTGAATCTTTGTGCTTTCTCTAGTGTTTTTGTTTTACTTCTATTGTATATCTGTCACATTATATTTCATTATTTTTTAGCATATATGCATGCATGGTGCATATGTGCATGATACACCAGCCTGCTATAGCAGCTGGCTAAATTAGCAACTTCTTTTTGTCTCACACTTGAATTTTTAAGCATGATTAACATACTTTTATATTAATTCTTTTAATTCAGTCCTTTGTAAGGCATATTGGACATGTAGGCAGCAGAGGCACAGAGTGAGACAGCAGCTGAGCTCTTGTCAACTTGCACAGCTGTTTGCCACTGACATATTAGTTAATGAGTGTTGAACTGTTTTCAGTTTTCCGCCATGTCTCACCATGTGACCATGGAAACCACTGACATCAAACCAAGGAAAACAATGCAGGGCATAGTATTGCTGTTACACTTAACCCACACCCCCACATCAGTCATCCAGGTCATCCAATCTGGGTCTACAAACGCTGTTTATAGATATCATATATCATATGTAGCTCAACTTGCTATATTAAAGTGACATGTTTTTTGCTTTTTTTCTTCTACTTCATTATGAAGTAAATGTTCATTGCACAGTATAATAGCTATAGAATAATGACATGATCTTCGTTTGGATTGGTTCCCCATAAGCCTCGTTTTCACTATACAATTCTGTCAGCCACCGGGCACAAAATTTCACAGAAAAACGAAGGCTCGATTTACAGGACATAAGAAGTGCTTGTGCAACCAAAACAGAAAGAGCATATTGCTTTTGTTTTCCCTGGTAGCTATCAGTTGCTTTCTCCAGTTAGCAGAAATGGCCGACAGTGGAACAACCAGAGTGACTGTGGAAACTCTACCCAGCAAAAGAAAAAGAGCCTCGTTGTCAGAGAGGGTGAAGAGGGAGAGTGAGAAAAACTGGTGTAAAACAAGAGTGAACCTCAGATGGGCATTCACTCAGTGGTGAGAGCCATGGTCAGACTGTGACTGAAATTCAACCCTGGACCAGAGAGAGGGCCAATAATGTGACTGATAGGGCTGGTAAAAACTTTATGGATTTTTTTTACCACTTGGAAATGTTATGGGAGGAAAAGTTGTCTTTTGCCACTTTAACTGTGTACAGTGGCAAGAAAAGTATGTGAACCCTTTCGAATTAGTCACATTTATGTATAAATTTGTCCTAAAATATTCTCAGATCTTCATCTAAGTGAAAATAATGAACAAACACAATCTATTTTAACTAATAATGCAAAAAATCATTACACTGTTCTTGTGTATTTTGAAAACATCATTCGAACATTCAAAGCATGTGAAGCAAGCTAATAGTATCAACAAACAACAAAAGTTGTTCCGCTAACGTACTGCTCACGCTACGCCTCCTGTATAGACACAGTGTTACAGTACAGTAGTAGCAGCAACCTCTAGCAAGCGATACATGCTGTTAGTAGTATTGGCTATAACCAGTAGCTATGGCAGTGGAGTAGTGCCCTCTAAGCCACCATTTATCCTTCCCAGGCAGCAGACACTGTAGAAAACGCTTGCTATATGAAAGAACCTACTGTTAATATGCTCTCCACCAAGCTGCATCAAAATTCTGCCAATAAATACAGTAAAAGACACATTCTGAGGTATTCTTCCAACAGTGGTACCACAATAATATGATTGCACCTATTATGTCTACTGTATCTTTCACCTACAGGACTTCTGTGCCCCAGATCCTGCCTTCATTCCAGCCAACCTCTCCAAACAGGGGTCTGCTGGGGGCACCAGGATTACTGGACCTCTGTTTGTGCCTCTGCCCAATTCCACAGCTCTTGGCTGGGCCTCCAATGTGACGGCTCCCCCTGCCTGGCCTCCTCTCAGCTCCCTCAGGCTGCTCGTATCTCAAGAGGGCCAGTCCTGTGTGGAGGCATGTCAGTCAGCAGGCTTCATCTGTGAGCCAGCTCACTTCCGCTTCATCAACAACAAGGAAGCCCTGCGCGGGTAAGTCAGCCTAAAGTAACTTACTGTCTGCCAATCAAACTTTAACAGGAAGTTTAGGTCCAACAAAACAACAATACTTTTCGTTACAGTGTTTGGGATTCCGTCATGCCCACAAAAATCATGATAACAATACTGTGACATCTCATCACACATTGTAAGCTTTGTCTGTGTTCAATATTAAGAAAAATTGTAAATGAACAGGCGATGTCGTGGTATATTTTTCAGTACAAACATAATGAGCTAGATTAATTCAAACAAAGGCTATGGGTCCAAAAGCCTGGATGGATAACTTCTCAGATATTAATTGAAAGTAAATGTTGTTCCTTTTGAAGTGAAAATAAAAACAAATGTGCTTATCTTAGATTCTACATTCAAACTTTACATGAGAACGAGTGAGGCAGAGTCTCACCAGGTATTTACTTAGTTTACTGTATCAGCTCCAGGCAGGTGAAGCAGAAACTTGAGTTACAGACGTTGCCGTTTTTTTTTTTTTTTTTGAAGCTCTAACACTGAAAGCGGTCTGGTGTTTGAGTCTCTCCTCCAAACACTCCCCTCCTGACTACTTTCAGTTCCAACTCTTACTCTTTGTTCTCCTTTCATCCTCCAAGTATCTTCACTTTTTTTCTGTGTGTCTTAGTTTACAACGCCTCTCTCCTTTGTTTCTGTTCTGTTACTCCTCCTTGTAGCTAAAGTCTGTTCTCTGACACAAGTTATCTTTCTCACAATGACATCTCATACCTGCAAGTCTTTTTTGACTTCCTTGTGGCTTCTCCACTAAATTCCTTCCCTCTCGTTTTAAATTGGCATCTGTCGCATGATGAAAGTGATGAAATCTCTCTCTTTTCTCTACTTTCCATTTATTTTGAGGTTATGCCAGTTCCACTTTCCTGTTACTTGTTTCAAATAAAAATAACTTTTTATTACTTGTATTAAGTAAGTAAGTTTCAAAGTTATGCTTTGAAGAACACAACAAGAACATTTTCAAATCGATTGAGCCCAGTGTGTATTCAGACTTCTGCCACTCTGTTTCATCCTTCAGGTTGGAGGTGCAGTGCGAGGTGGTAGACTCAGAGATCAACCACATCCTCCCAGCGTTCTCGGTGGTGCGACAGGAGTGCGGCCTCCAGCGGGAACCCCTCCTCTTCAGCTGTGCAGGTCACTCCCCCAAATACAGACGTCTTTGCCCCTGCAGAGACTTCCGCCGCGGCCAGGTGGCGCTGTGCAGAAACTGTTTATAATGGCAGGGCATGTGAAGGACAGACAGAGAAGAATTAGACACAGATAGGTGGGGTAAAGGGACACTGGAAGGCAGCCACAGCCAGAGCAGGTGTGACAAATTACCTAATGGTGCAGAGAGGCAGCTTCGCCCTAAAATCAGTAAACGTGGGATGATGAGGAACAGGCATGCAGTGATTTGAAGAGCTTGAAGTAGGCTTGGATAGCTGCCAAGCTGATTGTGGTTGACTGTAGTTGTAAAAGCAGCCGTTACACTGTAACAGGCTGGAGGCATATAGCAGCAAGACTTGCTAGAACAGGGTAGCAATGACACCAGGTGTCGTTACAACAAGGAAGTAAACTCTACTTAAGGGTAAAGGCTGGGTTACAACTCACCAAGCCAACCAACGTTCACATTAACCCTCCGACAACAGGATAACAGTTTCTACAAGATGTGATACATTTCATTTTTGGAACTGCATCTTGCAAAAAATAATGGCTTAGAAGTTGAAAAATGTACACTTGTGACTGCAAAGAAACTCTGTATTGGGACTATAGTGTCATTCTATGACAGAGTCCTCAAATATTGTGGCTTGGCGAAGGCAACCTCGGGTCAATATCCAATCTCCACTCTGCACTTGGACAAAGGATGATGGACAGCCGGGTTATCTCCCTCGGTTTTTCCTCCCTCCTCCAATGACGGACAGAGTCATTTATCAGACTGAACCCCAAGTCTGAGGCAACATTGGTCAATGCAATCATCTCTGGTCGCAAAAAGAAAGGAGGACAGAGGACAAAGATAAAGGGTACAAGATTATTTTTCAATAAATAAGCCTTCAGAGCTCTCAGCTGGATTTTTAAAGAGTCCTCTGGGCTTTTGTTGGGGAAAAAAATGATAAAATAAAAAAATCAGAACAGATCAAAGTGTCGAGGTGGGTTTTATATTGCATCTGGTCTTCACTCAGTTCTTGGCTATCTTTTTAAGTTGGAGGGTTTCTTCTCTTGCACTTCCCTGCATCCGCAGTCATCCAGATTTCCATCAATCCATCCGACTGTAGGGAAGGACGTTTGATCCCTTTCACAGGGAGACGACGGCCAGCACAGGCTGAAAGATGTCAATTATAAGTCAAGGAGGAAGTTTTAATCAGTTGTTACACATATCTACTTTTGCTGATAACAACAATGTGCTTTTACTTTTTAAAGTTATTAGATATTGAAAATAATATTGTATAATATTGTTTTCAGGTTGTCTGTCCATGCGTCCTTACTTACAGTACATCAGCCCCATTCTTGTGGACACAATATCTCAGTAACAGCTTGATGGAATTTCTTCAAATCACTCAAGGATGAACTAATTAGACTTTGGTGGTCAAAGGTCAAGGTCACGCTGACCTCACAAAGCATGATTTTGGCCTTGTGAAAGCAATTTTTTGAAAACTCCTCAAGGGAAACCTTTCAGATTTGGCACAAACATTCACTTTGATTCAAGGACAAACTGATTTGATTTTGGTTGTCAAAGGTCAGGGTCACAGTGACTTTACAAAACATGGTTTTGCCCTTGTGAACGCCATTTTTCGAAAACACAAAAAGTGTTGATACAACTGAAAGGGTGTAGTTTTAGTTTCCTTTATGATCACAGCAGGTGCTATCCTCCATGACAAATACATTGCTTTTCCTGTTACTGCTTCACAATAAAAGGCACTTTGCCTTTTGCCCATTTAATTATTTTAATGCGAAGTGGCAGCAGTAGAAAATGTTGCTGATATCAGCTGATATGCTGATGCTGGGTGCACGCTGATGCATGTAACACTGAGTTACACGCATTAATCTTTTCCTATGAATCCCTGGTGTGTAGGTAGGCCATTTGAACTCACCGTGGCAATGGCGGACTCCGCCAGCAGAGAGATAATTACTAAATGTAAAAACAATGAGTGGCTATTGCAGAAGCATCAAAAATGGGGTTTGATTTCATGAAAATGATGTGGCTCAGGTGGTAGAGAAGGTTGACCACTGACGCTGATCCCCTGGTGGGTGGTACGATCCCCGGCTCCTTAAACCTAGGGTTGCATCAGAAAGGGCATTTGACATGAAAACCTAAATCAGCCAAATCAACTACGCAGATTGTGTTCTGCTGTGATGACTGCCAACAGAAGCAGCCGAAAGGTGACGACAACAACAACCACCACCCCCACTGTGGTCCTTTCACACCACATTTCGACATTGGCCTCCAAACTAAAGTTTCTCTGAGACATTGAGAAGTCGTTTGAAGTAGTTTGTCTAGGTCAGTCCCGAGATGCAGCTCCATGTCCAGGTGTCCCAAATCTCTGACATCTCTGTCCTCTTTTTCATGACATGTTCCAAATGCCTCCAGCTACGTCGTATTCTTCCCTGTGACAGTGAGATTTTACTCTGAAAACAGGGTTTATGGTTATTTTTGTTATTTTTGTTATTTATCCGCATTGTCATGTTTTATCACATTTCAGTGCATGAGGCCTGTGCAAATTGAATTGAATTATGTAACATCAAATTACCAGCAAGAGGAGTCAGTTTAACTTGAAAAGTAGTGTCAGTTTGGTATTTGGTGTAAAAGTTTGTTTTTGACAAATTTATTCCAGTAAAAACAGCATCTCATGTTTTGTTATTCCTTCATGGTGACGGCAGCCAGAGCCGGAGGCATTATGTTTTTGGGTTGACCGTCTGTACGCCCATTCTTGTAAACCGCAAGGCGCTATTTATTTTGTTGTTTTTAATCAAGCCAGGCCAGATTAACCACAACAATATTGAAGGTTGTCCCCATAATCAATACAAAGCTTCTTGATTAACTAAGAAATTATTAAACAATAAATGATGACCTGGTGTGGGTGTGTGTGTTGTGTGTGTGTGTGTGTGTTGTGTGTGTGTGTGTGTGTGTGTGTGTGTTAGAGAAACAGAGCTGCTCTCGGTCTGTATCCCAGTGATTAAAGCAAAATTCAATGAATAATAAATCACAGGTGTGAATGCCAAAGTAGATTCATCAAATCCTCATTGACCTGCACTACCGTGGGGAAAAAGTGTCACCTCATTCACCAGCTCACTGTGATTTCAATTTAACAGCAGTAGCAATTCAAACTGCAATGAATGCTTTTCATCTCCATAATTCATCCATCTACTTGAGTAAAATGTTTACAATGATCATAGGAGAGCAGTCATTGCCCCCTACACAAAAGCAGTTCTTTCCCTTCATGGACACGGCACATCAGAGCAGGCTGCAGCCAGTGGAAAGGTTCAGGTATCACATCTATGAGCATAATGTGTGACCATGATGATTCATTCGTTCATATGAATTGGTTTGTTTCTTCTTCTCGTGTCACCCTGTGGCAAAAAAGTTAGCTTAACTGGCTTAACTTAAACTTAACTAAAAAGTTAGTTAAGATTCTAGATGAAAGCAATAGGTCAAAATTTTTGGGAGATATATTGGAAAATTTTTACTAGTCTCATATCAGTAGGTTCGATGAGAAGCCAGAGCCGGGCGACAGTAAGCTTAGCTTTGTAGTAACATTTCTTGGCCGGGTGCCGTCACTTCTTGAAGTGAAGATGGCAAGCAACCAGTGAGGAGACTCCAAGAACTCATTGCTTCCTTAATAAACAAATATAAATGTGGCATCAATTCTCTCATTGAACTCTCAGTAAGAATGCAAACAAGCACATTTCCCACAATCTCAAAGTATTCCTTTGAGGAATAGGAAACGATTGTGGTCATGGTCAAACATAAAGAATACTGATACAAATAACACTGGCTCTCAGTACTACACAGGGGAACAGAGGCCTCCGTTGAAGAAATTAAACACTTGTTATGCCCATGCACTTCTCTGACCTCCAAGACTTTACTTTTAACTGCACTGTATGAACTTTACACTATTTCCTGCTAGGCAACAGATATATATTACTGATGCAAATGAGCTGAATATGAATGTAACTCTTAGGAGACGAGGTTCATAGTTGTGGTTTGGTATTTGCAGTAGTGTCTGTGCAAGGGGCCATATACTATACTGAGGCTAAGCATACTTTTATGAGATCAGATATAAATTTTTACCCTATAAATTCAGAGCTTTGTGTCTCTCTCTGCGAGTCTTTTTCCACTCTCAGGGTGACTTTCAAACTTAATACACATGGCTGCCTAGTAACCAGATGAGAAATTGGGAAACAGCTGCATTTCCTTTTTGTCGGACCCCCCGTCAAAAAAATCTCTTGACATGCCTCTGAAGGACACAGACTCTGTGTGTGCGTGTGTGCGTGCGTGCGTGCGTGCGTGCGTGCGTGTGTGCCTGCCCATGTGTGAAGATACACCACACAGCATGAGCCTAAGTAGTTGTTAAAATACCTTCAGGCTACAATCCAAGCTGAATGTTTTTTAGTTTCCACTATTCATTTTGAGTGAAGCCCCCATCCAGACAGAATAACATAAACCAAACCACTTTAGCAAGTAAAGCAAAAGAAACAGTGCAAAAATATGTTATAACTGAATTTAGATGCCAGTGCCAGCCACATTATTGGTCTGCATTTGTTCTCTGCCTTTGATAAAGATGTCAAAAAGACATTTCTTTGCACCTTCACCGAGGAGAAGATTTCAGAGCCTAAAGAATATTGAACAGCATCCAGGATCAGTTATCAGTTTTATCATGATAATATTCACAGCTCAGTGTGAAGACTGGCGGAAATGTTTTTTTGGCTGATATACCAGTGAATCCACAGTGGGGAAACATTTACACAGAGAATGGCTGATTGCTGAGAGTGATTCCTAATCAAACCTCCTTCACTGAAAACTGCTCGTCTGCCTTCTGTTTAAAAAAGGTTCATGTTTGACTAAGACTCTAACTAAACATTTGTTCTGATGCAGCTTTTTTTTCTTCGACAGAGAGAAGCGTACATGCACATTCTAATTTCCAATCTCAATGTTTGTATCGGGCTCCACAGTGGTGACTATGCTTCACATGCATGGTTGGAAACGGTGTGTTCTTTGTGAAGCTCATGACAAGCAAAACTG